AAAGGGAGACTACGGGGGGTTTATCCCCTGTGCGTGGATTGGGCATTATGGTTCAAGATTCCGGGGTTAAGTCTGATGTTCCTTACCACAGGAGCTTCCCCCGCACGGTAAGGCCGTTGGGTGGATTCCTATCTTTTAACGGTCCTGGGGCGGGAGTGGTGGGATTACCTTTCCAGAGTCTGGTTAAGTTTTAGGTTCTTTCTCTACCGTGGTGGGCTCAGGGGGGTTCTGTCAGTTTTATCGTTCAGGGTTAAGATTTGGGGTGGGAACAATAGAATGGGGAGTGAAGGGTTTACAGTTTAGGGTTCAGGGATCAAGGTGTAGGTTTAGTCTTCAAGCTTTGGGTTTAGTGTTCAAGGTCTAGTGTTTCAGAGTTTAGGGTTTAGGTTCGGGGTTAGGGGTCAGGGTTTACGGTTTAGGTTTACGGTTCAGGTTTCAGGGTTTAGCGTTCAGGGGTGGTGGGCTAAGGAATCAGGTTTAGGGTTCACGTTTCAGGGTTCAGGTTTCAGGGTTCAGGGTTTAGGGTTCACGTTTCAGGGTTCAGGTTTCAGGGTTCAGGGTTTAGGGTTCAGGGTTCAGGTTTAGGGTTCATGGTCTACGGTTCAGGGATTACGGGTTCATGGTTCAGGGTTTAGAGTTTAGGGTTCAGGGTTTAGGATTCAGGGATTAGCGTTCAGGGTTTAGGGTTTAGGCGGTTCTGGTTCAGGGTTTAGGGTTTATGTTTAGGTTCAGGGTTCAGGGATTAGGGTTTAGGGTTGAGGGTTCAGGGATTAACCTTCAGGGCCTACGACTTCATGGTCTAGGGTTAGGTTTAGGGTTTAGGGGTTAGGGTTCAGGTTCAGGGTTCAGGGTTGTCGGTTTAGTGTTAGTTTTACGGTTTAGGGATTTGGTTTAGCCTTTTAGGCTTAGGTTTCCTTGTCTAGGGTTTAGGGTTAGGTTTATGGCTCAGGTTTTACGGCTTCCGGTTGGCTGTGGACCCTTTATTGTCTACGGAACAGTTTGTTATGTTGTCGGTTTCATGTTTCAAGATTCACACTTGAGCCGTTATTTCTTAGTGATCACGGCCCATGATCTTGTGAAGATTTTCCTCCTCTATATTGCTTGTTCTCTGGTTCATGTGGTATTTGTGACGATTTCGGGCGTTAGGGTCAGGGGTCATTCCTTAATCCTCATCTCAGTTGTTTTTGTTACGTCCCCTTCGCTTTTTAGTCTTCGGTTGTCTCGGAGTTTCGCTTATGGCTTATATGGGGTTTTCGTCTTATCCCTTCCATTCTCTTTCCTGGTTAAAGCGTATTTTGGTTAAGCTCAACCTGGAAGGCCGGGGTCGCCTGGGGGTTTCCTTGTCTAATCTTTATCTTTGTGAGTTCAAGCATCTACGTGTAGGGACCACAGGCAGTGCTCCCCCTCCAGGTGTGAGAGTGCCGCTCTCATGGATTTAGATCTCATAGACCTTGGGTTAAGGGGGTCTTGTGTTCTTCTATTGATTATTCTTCGCTGAGTATCTTTCATTTGTTCTGACTTGGAGCTTTGGGGTTTAGTCGCTGCTGCTTTGTCGTGAGTTCGGTTGGATTGAGGGGGTAGGAGAGGGGTTCTGGCGACATTTTTTTCAGTTTTTCGTCATTTCCTATTTTTCCGCTTTAGGTTGAGGCTTCTTGTGGTCCTTGTGTATTGATCTGGGAGTTGGGCTTCGGGGGTTAGTCGGTGCCTGGAGGTTACTTATTAGGTCCTATTTCCTAGTGATCTCGGTATATGCTTTACCCTTTATGGAGGAGTCTTCTGCATTTAGTGTTTAGGGATCAGGGAGCAGGTTGGAGTTTCTCGCAGTTAGAAGTTAGGGACCTGTTGTCTGGCTTTATTCTTTCAGAGTTGGTGTTGGGGATGAGAGTTGTTAATCCGCTTGGCTTTGGTGTTATTTGGGATTTTTTAAGGCTTCTGATTGATAGTTTAGAGTTTTTCCTCTATTATTTACTTGTCATGGTTCATCTCTAGGATGTATTCTGTAGTTGTTACGCTGATTTTTCTCTATTGCGTTTTTCCTGCCGCGAATTTACCCTTGCTCCCCTAATATTTACGCGTCACCATTTATTATACACGTGGGAAGCCTTATTGTCCATACTTTGTGTGCTATGCTTCGTCTTGTGATTCGTTCTCTTCTTTTGTGGGCTCCTATTAGTGGCTGTCATAATTTTTCGGCTTAATGTTTTGGGGCTGATTCGGTTGTTCTACCTCTAGGCCTGTTTCCCTACGGTTGCTTTATCTGCTTTAAGGCCTTAATTTGCTTCTTCTTTTTTTTCTATAACCTGTTTCGTGTATGTTGACTTAGTCTCCTCATTTGACTCACTCCTTTGGGCAGCGGGTATAGGTAACCCCTTTTATTTCTCAGCTTTTAGCCGTTAGACCTTATTCCTTAGTTGTTATGGCTTTGTTTCATATTTAGCCTGCCTTATGTCAGCGTTTTTTCCCTTTCATTCAAGACGGACTTTTGGGGGGGCTTTCTTAATTGTAGGACTGCCGAGATATGTTCGCTGGCTTCGATCCGTAATTTTCCTGCTTCAATGGCTACTCTTCCTTCTTTAGCTCTTGAAGGTTATCCTGACGACTGAATTGATCTTTGCTAATGCCTGTGGGGGTAGCCCTGACAGATTTCATCATGTGTTCCTTTTCTGTACGCCTTAGGATTAGGGGCTGGCTGTGGGTTCCTTATTGGGTCGTGATGAAGCTTTAGGGAGTGATGATAACGGATCTTACGTATCAAAATGAATTGGCCTTTATAATTCTTTGATTTTAGCTTCTACTAAAAAATAACTATCAATACAGTAAGTGAGGTTGCCTGTATATCTACATATGTATGCATTTCTGGAGGAATTAGAAATAATTCCTTTATTCTTTAATGAGATTACAGC